TTCATAATTGAAGTGAAGTTACCTCTAGAGTTAAATAGTGAGTTTTGTGAATGTGACGACGATGCTTGATCTRCATAAACAATAMAAATATTATGTAGTAGTTCAATTTTATTTAAGAGGATGATGAGAAATACCTACYTTTATATGGAACGCCACTGCGATTGTAATTTCTTGATGCAAACTGATTTGAGTTATATGTTTCATGATTCAAATTTTCTTCTCTCATATTTGGTGCAGAATCAAAATTTCCTTTGCCATTTCTGTTCAAGTTCTGTGTCGTCTCATCAAAGCTTTGATTCAAGTTTTGTGTTCGAGAAGTAGCTGAAATGAAGGTATGATTTTCGTTATTCTGATTGAGAGCAAAATACTAACATAATTTGGGTTGTTAACAATATTCTTACATGTTTCTGGCTGCTTTTTTTTTTTATTTTTCTTCTCCTTTATATAACGCATTCGCTTGATTCTTGGAGATTCATGTTCTATAAAAARTATCATGAGTATGTGTGAAAGCAAAATAATATTTCCCTTTATCTTAAATCAGTATTTATAAGCACAYAACTCCATTGTCGTTGTACTCTATTTAAGATAGTGAGACTTAAAGATTAGAATAGGATATTCATAACTAAAGTGAAGTTACCTTTCGAGTTAAATAGTGAGTTTCGTGAATGTGACGACGATGCTTGGTCTGCATAAACAATGTAAAAATATATTACATATTGTTCAATTTTGTTGAGGATGATGTAAAATATGTACCATTACATGGACTGCTTGTTTTGTTATTCAAATTTGCTTCTCTTATATTTTCTGCAGAACTTGGTATTCCATTGCCATTCATGTTAATGTTCTGTGCCATCTCGTCAAAGTGTTGATCCAAGTTTTCACTTACAGAAGCAACTGGAAAGAATGTAAGATTTCCGTTATTCTCACTGTAAACAAAAATCAAACTTAATTTTTCTTGTTAACAATATTCTTACATGTTTCTAGTCGCTTTTTTGGTTTTTCTTCTCTTTTATAAGACGCATTCGCTTGATTCTTGGAGATTCAGATTCTACTAAAAGCATCTGACAATATTCTATTTTGAGTATGTGTGAAAACAAAATATAGGACAAACAGTGAGATAAATTCTATGTTATTCATATTACCATTTGTAATATCAGTTAAGATATTAGGTGTAACTCTGTTTGGCCGTGTTTGTGGTACAGAAGTGACTTCTATATCAGGAGGAATGTTTTCTTTGAGATCTGGGTTTTCTGTAGGTTTTACATAAAAAAGAGAGTTAATGCAGGTACGTGATGAATAATATATTGCATGATAGTACTGCAAGTACCTTGATTTTCTGTTTGGTTGTTTTTWTTMTGTGAACGAATYGYCAGCCTTTCCATCCTTTTTCTCTTTGGTGTTGATATCTTCATTTCTATATCCTTTTGCAGGATGAYATGAATAAAGAAGCAGTAAAATGTGAATTGAATGGAATAAACTATGAAGAAAGTTATGGGAGAAATCAACCGTACCAAAAGGAAGAAGACAATGTAACTGCCGATGTTGATGAATAGAATTTTGTGTAACTGCTTCTGTAATTAACATAGTTATTCAGTAATTTGAAATAAATAAAAGAATTTTGTGTAAGGTTCAACGTGTCTAACCAACTTCTTTTAACTATTTCTTGAATAGCAATTTTATCATATTTTAATATTTTAAAACTTATCAAAATATTTATTAATTTTAAACATTGTGAAAGAAAGACAAAGATGATCATTTCTTGTAAAAATAGATCAAACTAGATTCATTAACACATTAATTTTTTATTATATTGACATCACATGAATTTATCTAATTAAGAAACAGTGGCCAACAGGTTTATAAAAGTAAACATAGATCGAAGTTGGAGTTTAAAAAAGCATGAAATTGATAATTGTTAAAAGAAAAGAACAACAAAACATAACATCAGTTTTGTTAGATTCCTAAAATACGAAAAAGAATGACTAATTTTCCTACGATCACTTTCTTTCCTTCTTAACTTGACTCTTGGACATCAATTTAGGCTTTGTTGATGATTGTTGAACACCATCAATCTCAGAGGAAGGTAATGATCTTTTAGTCGTTGGAGTTAGCATAGACACGTTAGAAGCAGCATTGTCTAAGTTTTCAGCTTCAGAAGAWATATTATCAGTCTGCAAAAAACAAAAGTTCACATTAATACAATTTAATCAACAGTGGCTATAAAAAGTATTAAAGTATTAATTTATTACATAGACCTGAGTTGAATTTTCAGCTGAAATTACAGATACTGAAACTATTTCCTGTTCAAGAGCCTGCTAAATAAAAATATAATAGTAACATTGTAAATGATAGTTTTTTTAAAAAATTGTAATAAAATGTACTTACCAAAGTGTGATCACAGTCAGCAAATTTTTTAACTGTGTCAGGATYATCAGTAAGGCTTAAAACTCTGTATGTAGWAGAGCGATTGTATGTTGCTGATTCTTTAACCAKGAGCTTAAAAACATAAATTCGACCATTAAGATCAAGCAGCTCTTGAGGAGTTTCRTCAGATCGGTTAAACTGCATTGTTAGTTAGGATTTCATTAAATCGACTATATATAATGCAAGAGTAAGACAATGGAGAACGGTAGGTATAGGAGACGTTGAATTAAATATACCTGGACTTGTTCCTCAAGCAACTCATATGCAGATTTTCTAATGAGTGGAATGACTATATCGTCAAATAAAATAAAATAAGTGCTAGCACTATTGTCCATTGCTCTAATTGCCAACTTAAACCTGACAAAAGAGTAATGCATAGTTTTCATTGCATTAATTTACTATGAAATGCATAAAATATGAACATGAAAAATGTTAGAACCTGGGTTGTGTCGATGCAATTTGTTTTTTGCATTTCTCACAAGAAAACTTATTGGGCTCTGTTTCTTCAGTGTCAGGATTGAAATAAGGAGTAAYTTTCGTATAGMAAACTGTACAACCGATGTAAAACCAAGAGGTTTTTGACTCTATGCAAGATATTGATGCATGTACATTGCCTATCGTGCCCTATATWTTAAGAATARAMATTGAAATGATAAAGATTAAATAATAGGCTACAACCATATATGTAAATATTTTTGTTTACCGTGTCTAGTTCTCTGAGTTGGCTGATTGTTTTCTTGTCAGATAAAGAAAAATCAGTTTTTGAAGTCTGAACAAAGTTGGAAGACTCAATTTCAGTAATAGCCAACGTTGTATTTGGTTCACCATTGCATAATCTGTAATATAAAATGATTTATACTTAAATGAACCTACAATCTAACAAAATGAGAAAAATACAACATTACTTGAGTATATTTGCTTACGCTGTCTGAAACTCAATATCTCTGGCAATGGAGTATTGATCATGATTTTTGTTGCAAATTTTGAACTCTGAACAGTGCCTTTCCCTGAAAAAGATGGAAAATTTTGCTCAATGCTTTGTTTAACGAAATTGTGGATGTGATTATAGGATATTGAAAATATACTCATAATGATATATATATACCTTTAAATATCAAACTTTTCATCAAACTTCCAAGAAAAATGACTAGGGCAGATTTTTGACTTTCAATTTGAGAGTGTATATCTTCTGCAAGTTTTCCCATATGGCAACATCAACAAGTGAATCCCTAAAAAAATAAAATCAATAATAATTTAGTTATGATAAACTCCAAAAAAGAAGAAGAAGAACCGTACATAAATTAGAATAAAATCTTATAAAAAATCACCGCGAAACTGAAAAAGAGAGAAACAGAGAGAGAGATTTCCATAATTGTCTTTTTTGAAAATGGTTACTTATTACAATAAGATTCATTAGTCTCTAGTCTATGTCTTTGGGAAGATCACTTAACGTAATGAATATTGGATTTTGAAATGAATGCAAGTAAAATAGATGACATCAAGTACGAAGAGTATGTTATATGTATCAAGTTTCAGAAATAACATTTGAGAAATCAAAATGTGAACGTGTGCATAGTTCAAAGCCATGATTCATATATTCACAGAAGTTTAAATAAAACTTACCCGAGATCCTTAAGTCGAAGATTAAGTAGTTTTGTTGGGCCATCAACGGTGGTAGTGATATCCTTAACTTCATTCATCCCAATAATCTCACCGATAATGTCTGCAAGTTAAAAAAAATTCAGGGAAACATAACAAATTCTTAAATGAAAAGACAAAAGTAAAATGGCAAAGAAAACATACCAATGAATATATCTGCARCATTAGTCTTTGCTATTATTTCAGGGAAAGAATAGAAGTTGAAACGTGATTCTAAATTTGGTATTTGTGAGGATGCGCAGAACTTCGGAATTGTCCAAGATTGGGGTCTAATTCAAAGTTCATGCGGAAATAACACTCTCCTTCTTCTAGTTGCTTCTGAAATTTGGAAAGTAAATTTCCTTTGATGGAAGCTTGAATCATACCCCCCTGTCATAAAATGATAGTGTAAGATATTAACTCACTTGAAAATTTACAAAGAGTATGAATAAATGAATGAAGTAAACAGACAAAAGTACATTAACCTTATCATCTACAAGGAGCATATCGATTCCTGTAAATTCGTTTGGTTTATCTTTTTTCGGAAATCCCCACAGTCGAACAACTCTAACTTTGATCTTATATGGTTCAATTGCAGGAGTTACATGCAAAACATGTGTAAAATCGAGCGGCATGATGAATTAATCCGCCTCCTGGAAAGTGGATAATGAATCAAAAATAGAGTTAAGACACACAAAACAGAAGTAATAGTTGCTCAGAATTAAAAAAAAAACAGAAAGAAAGAGTTTTTTTTTACGTAACTCATGTGACAAAAAATCCATCTTTCACAATTTGCTTTACTAAGTTCTTAGAAGAAAACAAACACGAATCATAAACATAGACAAAAGCAATTTGTAACAATTCTTTTATTATAATTCCCAAACTACAGACAAAAGCGAAGAATCTACAGACAAAAGCGAAGAAAAGCGAAGAATAAAGA